AAAAGACAGTTGTGAAACCTACTGTTCAGATCAAGGACACCCTGATGTACATGAATCCTAGGCTTAGGGATAGCAAAGAGCCACCCTGAGACTCAGGGTGTCTGGATAGCCAGCACAAGGGATTCAGGCTCAAACAGTGAAAATACAAGACAGATTACAGCTTTAACCCTGAGTTCTGGGCAGAGTACGTGAAGGGAACAATTTCATTATTCATGGAGACAAAGTTGGTCTGTCTGTATCCCATGCACACTCTTGAAAATGTGTCACGTTCACACCATTCTCCCCGTGACCTCTCACAGATCGCTTTCTTTAGTTCATACTTCTGTAGCCGCAAAGAAAATGGTCTTCAGCTATTGCAAACAGGAGAATGGGGACTGTAAATTGTAATGAACTTCCTGCTGTGTTGGGCAGCTTGAGCCATCTGAGACAAATAGCATTATTTGATCATCCTTTCTTTTTCACCGCCAAAACCCGTTAGTGGTCAGGATGCCAGTGCTTGAGTGGAGAAGAAAGAAAAAGGGGGGTGTGTGCCCTTGTTTCCTCCTAACGCGTCTGTTCCTTCTGCTTGCTTACGCTGAGGGGCATGCCCACCTGACGGCATCGTCAATACGACCTTTCTCTGTAGGCAGGCAGAAGGAACAGATGCATCAGGAGGAAACGGAGACTTTTTTCCATTTAATCATTGATGTTCTGGATACTAGCAGGCATGAATTAAAAACTGCTCCTTGTGCAGTTTGCCTGTGAGTGGGCTCACATCACCCTCAGCACTGTTTGGAAGGACATGCCCAAGTTAGGTAGAAACAGGCCACCTATAGCAACACCATCATTGTGACAGCAGTGAGCACACTAGTTTTTGATGGTAAGAATCCTCTTGCTCTGCCTAAAGCTTTCTGTTATCAAACTAACTTCGGAAGTCGGGTGTACAAATGGGATTTCGGTTTTGTTTTGTTTGCCTGCTCTTTTTATGCAGAACTTCAGGCAGAGAACAACAACAGAAGATACATTCAGCAGTTTGATATTTTTTCCTTCAGAATGTCTGGGGGTTTTCTCAGTGTTCATTTGATGGCATTAAAAATGAATGGGATGACTAAATGGTTTACGATTTTATATACTGAGTTAACATGAAAGCAATTACTAATGTGTATAATTATCTCCAGAATTACTTGGATCATGCAAATGGCATTCAAACCAACCATTTTTAACTGTTTTCCAGGGGATGTGTCATTACATCATTCATAGTAAGAATAGTACCCTACAATATGAGCTCAATATTATTGCCCTTTCAGAATTTACTTCTCAGATTGTCCTCTTGGCGAGTTATAACTTTCTATTTTAATCAGTTTTTTGGGTGCTTCCAGATCTCAGCAGGGGAGTGGGTATTGAATACAGATTATGTCTATCACTTCAATGTGAGTTTTAGCTGGAACAACAATGGGATCAATGCTCAATCTGTTATCCTCTGAATTTAGAGGACCATACTGAGATCAGTGAGTGGTTTGACCTCACATGACTGAGCCCTAGTCAGTGAGAGAGGGTACAGAGAAAATGGTCAAGCATAAAAAAAGAAAAAGGAGCTTATATTAAAATGCAGGAAAGATAAATCAATGGTGAAGGCCAAGAGGCAAAGAAGAGTGTGGTTCATGGGTAGGGTTAAAGAAAGGAAGAAGGAATGAGGATGAAGTATGATCTGGATGGTGCAGCAAAGACTGGAACGAAGTTCTACCCAAAGCCTTGGTGCAAAAGCTGTTTTAGCTTTTAATAGCTGTGAGAAGAAGCTGAAGCATAAGCTGCACTTTCCTTTCTATACTTTCCATCATTGAAATGGTTAATGATAAAGGTTGTTTGGCTGTGGCTGCAAGGAAGAACGAAGCAAATTTCATCTACATCCCATATTCTGGCAGCTGGGGGGCAGGGGTCTGTGTGGTAGGCTGACCCCGGCCAGCAGCTGAGCACCCACACAACTGCTCTCTCAGTCCCTCCACCCCCAGCAGGATGGAGCAGAGAACAGGAAGAATGAAACCAAAATTCATGAGTCGAGACACAGACAGTTTAGTAGGTGAAGGAAAGAGAAAAAAGCAAACAACAAGCAGGAAATCACTTATCATCTCCCACAAGTAGATTGATAGCCAGCCAGCCTCAGAGCAACTGCCATCAAAGAAGTCAATCCACTCCCTTCTTCTTCTTCTTCTACGACAGTTTGCATTGCTGAGCACAACATCATATGCTGTGGAATATCCCTTTGGCCAGTTCAGGTGAGTTGTCCCACCTGTGTCCCCTCCCAATGTTTTGGCCATCCCCAGCCTACTCACTGTGGGGCAGGATGGGAAAGAGAGAAAGCCTTGATGCTGTGCAAGCATCTAGCAGTACTCCAAACACTGTGTGTTGTTAATTAGCACTGTTTTAGCCGCAAATCCAGAACATGGCACCATATAGGCTGCTATGAAGAAAGTCCACTCCATCCTGGCCTGACCCAGTGCAACATGCAATCCCATGGCACCCAAGCAAGGCAAGCTGAGCAGGTCCAGTGACAGCCAACAGTCAGTGGTTACCAGACAACTGTGAAGGGCAACACAGCTTCAGCATCACTCCAGGAAGTCAAGTCAGTGGGTCAGGGTTATTTAAGCAAAGTACACAGCCAGGCACGGGCAAAAAGTCTTGGGCAAAAGCCAAGGGCAAGGCCACCAAAGCAGGGTTTCTTACCATAGCTGACGACATGCATGCAATTTCCCTTTTCCTCTCCAAAACTTGCACACCATTATGCTGGACTGCTAGATTATCAGCAGACTCACAAGCAACACCAGGTGACTCTGATCTTTACCAGGTAAGTCATCTTGGAAACACTGGCCAGTGAGAATAGGCAGTGACACAAGACACTTCTTCAAGCAACAGATTTTTTATTTAGCCACAGCAGTCCAGTAACCAGAAGGGAAAAACAATGTACTTGTTGCCCCACCTACAGCTCTGCCAGTTTTCCTAAAGGCTTTGGTAGATACGACTTACCCCAATTCTTTCTGGTGGCAAAGGTGCAAATATCTTCTCTGCAGGCCCCTGCCTCTGTTTTCCTCAAAACTCTCCTGAAGTACCAGAGCTTTATTTAAGCTTTTTCATCTTGAGGGGCCATGACTCTCTTATCAGCTACATATGCTGCATCCTGCCTGGAGAAGGATTTGAAAAGCTGCTGGTTTGGGAGCTATTCACCCGTTTTAGCATCTGTCCCTTTGCACTTCACTGCTGTTGTATTGTAATGTAGCTCTAGCTGCCATCTTTGAAAATCATGGGCTGAGCAGACTGTGTTGTATGAACAGGAGTGGACCTGGTAACACTAGAGGAATTAGGGCAGGATTTTCAGAAGACTTCAGGACTTGCTGCTGGTCCCCTGGATATGTCACACTTTGTAAATAGAAAGGATCCTGGAACCATCAGGAGTTTTCAACAAAGTTTTTTTACAGAAATGTAAAGGCAAAAACATTTATTCAGGATTGACAAAGTAGGTGTAAGCTCTTTTGTTCAAAGAAATGCCATCAATCTGAGGCATCACTAGCAGTACTTTATAGGTGCAACTTTTTAACCCTCCCAAATAAAGTTTTGACCTGTTTGAGTCCAGGGATCATAGCACTTCTGTAGCAAAGATTGCCAGACTAAAAAATTATGGCAACTTGTGGGGCTATGAAGGAGGAAGCGTACCCTTGTGTGACTCCTGGGAGTCTGGGGCGGGAGAAATCTGGCCTCAAGCTGTTGGGATGCAGCAAAGGACAGTGAGGCCTTTGGCAGAAGGGTTAGAGACTTTCTGCACTGAGCGGAACAGGCAGAATGCAATCATGAAAAAAAATTGTACATAATGAAGATAAAACAGAGATTCCCAGAACGGATGTTGTCCCCAAAGAATACAATCCATCTAATGGAGAAAATATATACTCCAGCACAAGTTTGTATATACATGAGCATATGTTGAACTGATTAAACACAGTTCAGTTAGTTTATTCTAGTTTTGCTTTGTTACATGCACAAATGGAAAAAATATGGCATCTGATAATAAATCAACAGGCAACTGAAAGTGACTAGACATCAAAGGTTTTTTGAAGGCTGATAAAATATTTCCTTCTCCTAAAGAGCAGCTGATCCTTCAGTAAAGGACCAGACCCCTCAATCTGAATTCCAGATCCAGTTATGGGACCACAGTAACTTCTATTTCTTTGGCTACAATGGGCCTAAGGGATAACAGTCACAGATCCAGTCCTGAGGGGAGAGTGACATAAGGCAGAAGTTTTGAAACCTGTGTCCTGTTCTGCTCTTATTCACTCTAAATGTGTAATTGCCACAATTCAGTGAGCTGTTTGTGGTTTTCAAATGAAGCAAGTAAAGGTGACGTTGTGAGAATCATAAGTGTTTTCATATAATTTAATTTAATATACACTTTGTATCAGTGAAGAGAAGGATTCTGCTGAAATGTGCTACTACAATATTTCATTCAAACCCTGTTTCATGCCTTGAATACTTTTTATTTGAATAGAGTTTGAATAGAATATAAACTATCTAAAATTGCTAGTACAAAAATCCTGTAAAGGAGTTTCTTCCCTCTCTTCCCTTCTGTATCACAGTTGCCAGAACAAGTTGTTAGACCTTCAGAGAGGACAACTTACTGCCTACAGTGGGTTGTTGTTACTGAGACACTGAGGAAAAAATAGAAAGGAATGGATACTCGTGCTGTAATTGTTAGAGAAGGAAAGCTGAGGAAAACCTTAATGAAGTTTCAGGGCATGACTCTTAGTTCAAAGAGTAGAGTAAGACTCATGTGTCTGCCTTCAAGGTAGAAGATAAAAACCAGTAGCTTCTGAAAGATGTATCTTACTGGTCTGCAAAAGCCAAATAACGCTACAGACCTGTACAGCCATGCCGAAAACTCAGCACTCTCCCTAGCTCAGCAAAGACCCAACATTGTTTTATTTCTGCCAAAAGCCACTATTGACACGCTGCAGCTGGATTTCCTGGTAGTTCACAGTTCAGTGGGCTATTCCTGCTATGAAGCACAACATATCCAAGCAGCACATTGTTGTTAAAGCTAAAAAAATTTCATTGTATGGGAGTAGTTTATGGTCTTTATCCAGGTGGCAGTTTTGGATGTAATATACTCTGAATACATGATGAGGCATAAAGCACACTAATGTTACCAAGATGAAGAAGAAACTCTTTGCCTGAGCCCTGAATTCCACATGGGAGTTGATGTCAGGCCAGTATTTCACAGCCAGTCTATAGATCACAGACAACTGGATTATGGTAAGCACAGCACAAACTGCCACCAAAATCCCAACCAAGCAGTAGTTTATGATCACCATGGGCGCCTCTTGCATCTCCTTGTGGAACTGAAAGCATTCAGAGGAGTGGTAGGTCTTAGAGGTGCCATAGTACGAGAGAAGAACGGGAGTGATCACCAGGGCTCCCACCAGCCAGACAGCAGCCACCCAGGTTGTAGTGTAGCACTTCCTAAACTCGAGACGGAAGAGGTGTATTATGATGATAGCCACGTAAAACGCGAAGGTGGTGTACATGTGGAGGTAGATGATGATGCTTGCCAGCCTGCAGGCAAACTTCCCAAATTTCCATTCCCGTAAAATGTAGTAGCTGAGGCGGAAGGGGATGCTGAGTAGCATAAGGGTGTGCAGCACCAGGAGGCTGATGATGATAGTGGTCATCACAGATTGCGATCTCCTTTGAAACAACTGATGGGACATCATGATGACCCCAAGGGCGCCGCCAGCCAGGTCAATGATGTACAGGGCTATGAGAATGGTGCGGAGCTTCTCTGAGGTGTCCGGCAACGTTTCGTTGGAGGAATGGTTCTGCTGGGTTATGCTGCTGTTAGGCATCCTCCTAAGCTTTTCTTTCGAAGGTTACTGAAGGTGAAAAATGGGAATTTTAAAAACAGACGTGTTTTCTTTGTCGCTTCCTTTCTTGTTAACTATGGAATGTCACAGATTCATGAAAGGATATTTTACTGAATTGTGTTTGAAATTATGTCATCCCATGCAGTATACAAACTTATAACTGTTGTCATACTGTATATGACAGCAATAACCCATGCCTCTCAGTGTAAAAAACCCACATTTTATATCATTATGAATGAGTTTTTAATATACTAAACTGCCTTCTAGGATCTTTTTTCAATTATTTGCCTCTAGATTCAGCCATTTGAAATAGCCAAGACACTGTCTGTTTGTAAATTATCCAAGTTTAATCTGCACTCATGTTATAAAGTTAATTGAAGGTGGGAAAAATACTGAAATGTATTAATGAAGAGGTTTTGTGTATACTTTATGAAGACACCTGAGCCATCTTTTTAGCATCTTTCATCTACAGATGAAAATTCAATTTCTTCTTGCTTCGGCTCCAAGTCTTCTTGCTACAGAATTTCACCTGAGCTACTCTACTATGAAAAGTGAAGAAAAGCTAAAAATGAATTTAGGAACAATCTTCTGAACGTTATAATCCTACTGGCACTTGTTGAACATAGCCACATACAGCTGCATTCCTATTTAGACTTCAGGCAAAGTGTGGACTGTTCAGTTGTTTGGGCTTGCATACAGATTTCTGTACAAATATACAGGGATGGCATGCAGGGTACATGCATACTTTGCTAACGAAATCTGTCCTTACCTTATGAGGAGTTTCAAAAGAGCAAAGTAAGAGCTGAAAAATGGTCTTTTAAAAAAGCAGTGTCTTCCCTCTGTGATTCCTTTGAAGTTTGAAATCAGTAAACTTGTTTTAATTGGCAATTCTTAATTCTGTTGCACTCATCTGTAAAATGATAGACTGCAACTGCAAAACATTTTCAGAGAAACTTCTTACTTATGAAGCATCAGGCAAAGCATCTTTAGAAGACCATTGAAGTATTGTGTCCAAGACTGATATAAACATTTCTGTTCACTCCCTTTTAAAATGCATGATCTTAGAAACATTTCAATGGTTAAAATTGTATACCCGCCTAATGCCTGAGAGAGGCATGAGCAATTTGCTTTCCCAGAAACTTTGCTATAACAAAAGTTCTGCAAGCTTTGAGAAGATGCCTTTCTGCTCTTGACACAAATTCATTTTCCAACACATATTATTAATATTTCAATCTGGCTTTAAGAATGTACAATATTTTTGTGGCTATAAACAGCATAATTACAACCTAGATGCCAACATTTTATATTACTCAGAAATAGATTATGTTTTTTCAATATTTATAGAAATAAAATATTTAAATTTTACCTCATAATCTCTTATTTTTGTGACTTCCCCCTTCTTCACCATTTCACGTGTCCATAATATACGGCATATATAACCAATGTGAAGAAAAGAGCCTTTGGTGTTACTGTTTGACTGAAAACGGTTGAGGGTTTTCTCAGCCCACATACAGGAAGGCAAAAGCCTTTTTTTCTTGCTTTAGTGTGATAGCAATCTGCTGAGCTGTCAGAGACCATCGTTGTGCTCGGACATGTAAGACAGACTCACCCGTCAGGACTACTTCTGCCCAAAATTCAGTCAGTCATAAGGCTCAGATGTGCAGTGATTCCCTGAGCTGTACAACTACTACAAGTTACTGGGTTTTGCTGCTAAGCAAGTAAGAAGTGCTACTGATCAAGTGAAGAAATATGCAGCTGAGCAGAGGATTTTTCATTATATATACACTCTTCCCCTGAACTTGTTTCATGTTTAACAATTAAGCTAAATATGCCAGAATAACAAAGTGTTTAGCAGAGTAAACAAAAGATTTCACTCTAACATGCTATTAGATCTTAAAGAATTCAGAGGACATTACTCACTGTTTAAATATTATAAGTAAAATAAGCTTCAGACATACATCAAATGCGACTTAAGAGTTCCTGCTGTTAAAAAAAGACATGCAGAGGCCAGTGACGCTTGAAGATTATGCCTGAACTGCAGGCATGACTGCTGACCCCAAACCATACCGTTAGTATAAGGTCGTTCACTAAAAAGAGGAAAGCATTGAGTCAGGGCTCTTCTAAAGACATTAAAAAGCAGTTTCTTGACTGGAAATTAAACAGAAAAAAAGTTATCCTGGTTTATTTTTCAATTAGAGTTCTAGACCATAGTCAGAGTCATCAGTACTCAAACATGAAAGGACAACACACAAGGTTTTGTGAGCAATAACATAAAACCAATATTCCATCAGGGCTGAACTAGCATTGCTCTAGCCGTCATGAAGTCATCCTCTGCTGTGGATATGAGGATGGTTCCCTCCAAGAGGTTTCTCTCCTATTATTAAGTACAGTCAGAAGAGCAAGATGCAAGAGAGAACTATTAGAAGTAAATAAACACAAAGACTCAAAAATACAAGGGTGCTAAAAGTCAGGGAGAGAAACAGAAAGGGTTGTGAGAGTGAGCAAGAATGTGGAGACAGCAGTCGGTGAGACATTCTCAGGATAAACTCTGAAAGCTTTGAGGGAGCAGTTACCATCTCATCTAGACCAGGACTCAGAACAGGAGGGATGCCCATTTTGGAGACTGCTTATGCTCATGGGCTTGGTGTGAGAGAAACGTGCAATTGCTCCAGCAGACAGAGCACTGAAGAAAAAACAGCTATGTGAATAATGGTACTCACCAGGTGTGGTTCCAGCATCACTTAATTCTGCGTACCTGACATGCTAACGATGGTGTTTGGATGGCAAAATGATCTGCTGGTTCTGCAGAAACACACAGGAAGGTAGGGAACAGCCTGGTGGTTTCGATGGGTTAGAGCAATCATGAAACTACATCCACAGCCTCTGGGTAAAGCAGGGAAATTCCTGCAGCCTTGTGCTCTGTCCACAGGACCTGAAGTGATCCACAAAGCTTGAACAACCAAGCAATAATGCAGAAGAGCCATGAAGAAATTGCATTCCTGAAATGGCTGCTATGTGGCAGCCAGCGCTCCGGACAGAGCCTGGTCAGGCTATGCGATCAAGAGCTTTGCGCACTTTATTACCTTGTTGAATCCAGCCGGAGTCTTTGGATGTAAAGTGATGCCAAAAACCCTGCAAAGGTGTTGCATAGATAATTCTCTCGTCACCTTGGGGAGAGCGCCCTTGGCTGACAGCAGAACTGCCGAGGGTCAGGAACTGAACTTCTCAATTGATGTTTCATACCTCTGAGTCACTTTGTCCTCAAAATGTTCCTTGAAGATTGTATGTTGAAGCTGTTCAGTGTGTTAACATTTCATCTTCATATTCTTCTTAAGAAAAAAAAAATTTAAAAATCACTCAATTCAACTCTGTAATCTAGGTCATAAGTTTTAGGTCAGTTTCTTTGAGTACAAAAGGAAATTGAGTCACATCAGCTTTTTCAAATGAACTTTCAGATCTTGGTTTTGCTTCTTACTTTGTCAGCATGTAGTTTGCCTTGACCAGTGGTGAGAATAAAGGTTGAAAGAGAAATACACATATACACATCAGAGATACAGGTCAAGAGTAGCATCACAAATGGATTTTAAGGAAGGAAAGAACTGAGCATGTCTGGTTTAACCTGGGGGGGAAAGAAGACAAAGAAAGGTGAAAGTTTAAATTATAAAGAAGAGAAAATGAAACAGAAGAAGCAGCAATAGTTGAGAGAAGAGGAACAAGGCCTGTTGGATGTTCAGAGACAGGATGGGTCTCTGTGGAAGTGTGACTGACTGTGCCTATGCATGGGTGTAGCGGAGTTCCTTTAAGCAGGGGCTACATCCGCAGTAGAACTCTAAGTTCTTGATTTCATTTCACTTCTGCACAATTTCCTCTGCTTTCTGTATCACTTTGTAAGAAAATGTTATGTTTACTGGCCAGTATAATAGCAGCGAAGGTTTCACATATGAACTCAAGAGCTTCTTTCTGTCTAGGAACAACCATAAAACTGCTCTACCTTGTGTTACTGGGTAAGTTTCCAATTTTAGCTACTTCCAACCTAGGGTCATAATTGTTGATAATTTAAATTATTTATTAATATTAAACTCTCTATTGCTACTTACTTATAAGAACTGAGCTCCATATAGGCCAGAGTCATAAACAGTAAGATAAGGAACACCTGTGTCATGTCTTAACGTACTGCTTCTTCTGCGATTGCAGATTCAGTCACAGTTCTTGCTGTCTTACTCCTACTTTGTTAGACATGAGTCACAGGTACTGGAAAGTGAGTAAATCACACCCCATGGTTAATGAACTTGCAGGATAATCCCTTTAAGTTGCCAATCCCTCCCGCCAATGCAGCATGAAGAATTTAATAACTTCAGCCAGTAGATGGTCAACAAGGTTAGCAGGAGATTTGAGATTCTTGGACTAATCTTCTACTTATTTGGTTGTAGATTTGCTGAGAAGTTTCTCAGGCTTTGTTTGACAGGATGGAAGAGGCTATCTGGCTTCTCTGTTTATTAGAAATAATAACATTTAGTTGCCTCAGTCGTATCTATTTAATATGCCTCAAAGGTAGACATTATGCTTTATGTAAGTAATATAGCATGGATTTCTGTGGAGAAATTTGGCAGACTGTATCACAGGCAGGCTATGACTTGCCTTTTGAAACAAAACTGTTATTTCTTGGGTTTGGTGCAAGAAGATGAGATTTATTATTACAAGTTCAGGAACTTGTCATTATTCTCCTGTGCTGGTACATACCAGTTTAGTAGTAAGTTAGAAGATTTATGAGATAGTTATGTCCTACTCTTTGGACTAGTTGCCCTCCAACACCTGTAGAGGCAATTAAAATTGTTGCTGCTTTAGGTTATTCCAGAAAATTGATAATCCTGGCTTTAAAGCACCATTGTACTCAGGAACAGCTGCAGAGAACTACATGTGAGCCCAGGATCTGGCACTGACAGAGGAATCTTTTCCTGGCCCCAAATACTTTCCTTTCTGCT